GCCCACTTGATAAATCTGCCCCCCCCAAAGGAAGTTCAGGCAGGAAGTACCTGCCAGCCTACAATATATACCTGGTGAACTGTATTCAGTTTGGTGGGTCTCAACCAGATGTAGAGAGCTGGAGATCCAGTAAGGTCTCCTGCTGTGAAAATCTTCCATTCAAGTTAATCAAATAAGAAGTCTGCTGAGCTTTTATTATCTGACTATCTACAATATGAAACAGTAAAAGGGGTTATGGTGGCCTGGATGAAAGACCTAGAACACACTTTGGAGATAGATCAATGGTCCAAAATTTGGAATGCAGCTAAACTGACGAGAGCAATACCATATAAAGAGAACATATATAAAATGTCCCACAGGTGACACTGGATACCTGATAGAATAGCAAAATGTTATGCGACAACAAATAGAAATGATTGGAAATGTAAAAAAAAACGTAGGTACGTTCTTGCATATGTGGTGGAGGTGTGAAAGCGTGCAAAAATACTGGCATAAAATATATATAATAGTAAAAGGTATCACAGGACTAGAAATACCATGTTTATTGAATATATTCCCAGAAACAGTTAATAAAGAAAATGTATATGTAATAACATATATTTTTACTGCGGCAAGGATAATGTTAGCTAAATGTTGGAAAACAGACAACATACCCTCAAAGGAGGAACTGATAGAAAAAATGTTGTTAATGGCAGAAATGGACAGGTTTAGCTTAATGTTGCAAGGGAAATACCAAGATCTATTTGAAAAAAGATGGAACAAAATGTATGTATGGTTGAAAAATACGACGTAATAGTGTCTCACAAATATGTAAATGATGATTTGTTATGTTGTTAAGATGGTAAAACTATAAATAAATGGGGGGGGGGGAGAAAGAAGTCTGCTGAGCAAGAAAAGCCAAAGTATTGGTACAGCAGAGATCCCAAATAAGCGGAGAGATGGGGAAGGGGTTGGGTTGGAGGACTGAGCGATGAATCCGGGGCCTGGATCCAACCATGTTCTGACTGTTCTACTGCAGACCCACATGGCTACCTTCTGTATTCAAAAACTTAAGTCCATTTCAGTTTTCTTAAGGGGAAGGTGGCCATTTACACTGATTTCCCTCTCCCATGTCAGGCTCTCTCCATTATGCTGTTTCTGAAAGTCTGCACCTGCGGATCCCCAGAAACAAACTTTCAGGTGAGCTCAGTGGGCTGCAATGGGAGGGGGGAAACGTCTGATATTTCTGGCCCCTCTTGCAAAAACTTAAATGCATTTGAGCTTTCCTCACTGCATGGTTGGATACAGGCCAAGGAATGTATATTGTGTCAGGTGCATATCTCTATCTCCTCTCTATCTCTACCTCTTAATAGCGACATGTGGCCCCCATCTGTGGATATCTAAATCCTTGGATTGGGGCCACACAGACACAGATTTCTCTGAAAACTCTGGGGACCCCCCAGGGTTGCAGAAAAATCTGAAATCTTAAAAAAACACATTGCGGGTTTAGATTCCTTCCAAAATAAGAGAGTGTCTGCGCATGTGTAGACAATGCACCTGCCTTTAATCTTAAGAACTGGCAGAGGGTGAAGCTGGGAGGCGTTCTAGGCTTGGCTGCAGTGGCAGTGGACTCTTAGGGCGATTCCGCATCTAGCATTCGCTCCACATTTTCTCAACTGGGAGGGAAAAGTGCAGCTCAAAACCACATTCAAATACTTTGGAGCAACAGTGTACTGACTGCAAAGTCACCCCTGAACAGCCATAAAACAGCCATAAATCTATGCAGAAGGTACAATAAAACCTGATGATCAAAGAAAGTGAAAGCGGCATGGAGTTTGGAGGCTACCATAAAACTCGATGTTCAAAGGAAGTGAAAGCAGCGTGCAATACAGAGGGGAAATTCTGTTCCAACGTGGGTTTTGTAAAACAATGGAGGGAAAAGCCAGTGCAGAATCAGCCTTAGACACTGCTGCACCCAGGCTTAAAGGTGGGTGGTGGGGCCTGGAGCTGCACCAGGCTCATTGATGAGGGAAGATGGGATTTTCCCCTCCCCCATGAGTCTTATGGAGTCCCCACTAGTCTATGTCTATATCTATCATGAGATAGGTAGACATATATGCTGAATGCATTTTTGCCTTTTGTGGGGCCCTTGGATGACCAAGGGGTAAAAGGAGTACTGAAGGATGATAGGGAAATGGCTGAGAAGCTAAATGCATTTTTTGCCTCTGTCTTCACTGTGGAAGATGAGAAGTGCTTGCCCACTCCACAACCGCTGATTTCGGGAGGGGTGTTGAAAGACCTGAGCCAGATTGAGGTGACGAGAGAGGAGGTCCTAAAACTGATAGACAACTTAAAAACTGATAAATCACCAGGCCTGGATGGCATACACCGAGAGTTCTGAAATAACTCAGATGTGAACTTGTAGATTTCCTGACAAAAATATGTAATCTTTCATTAAAGTCTGCCTCCATTCCTGAGGACTGGAAGGTAGCTAATGTCACCCCATCTTTAAAAAGGGTTCCAGAGGAGATCCAGGAAATTACAAGCCAGTTTGTCTAATGTCAATACCGGGTAAGTTGGCAGAAACTGTTATTAAGGAGAGAAGTAGTAGGCACATTGACGAGCAAAAACTACTGAGGCAGACTCAGCATGGTTCAGTCGCACAGTCGAGTCCGACTCTTCGTGACCTCATGGACCAGATCACGCCAGGCCTTCCTGTCTTCCACCGTTCTCTGAAGTTGGCTCAATTTCATGTTCGTTGCATCGATGACACTGTCTAACCATCTCATCCTTTGCCGTCCCCGTCTTCTTTGACCTTCAATCTTTCCCAGCATCAGGGTCTTCTCCAGTGAGTGCTCCCTTCTCATTTGGTGGCCAAAGTATTTGAGCTTCAGTTTCATTATCTGGCCTTCCAGGGAACAGTCAGGGTTGATTTCTTTGAGGATTGACTGATTTGATCTTCTTGCAGTCCAAGGGACTCTCAAGAGTCTTCTCCAGCACCATAGTTCAAAAGAATCTATTCTTCGGCGCTCGGCCTTCCTTATAGTCCAACTCTCGCAGCCATACATGACTACTGGGAATACCATTGCTTGGACCATGCGTATTTTTGTTGGCAGGGTGATGTCTCTACTTTTTATCATGCTGTTTAGGTTCGCCATCGCTTTCCTCCCAAGGAGCAGGCGTCTTTTAATTTCATGGCTGCAGTCACAGTCTGCGGTGATCTGGGATCCCAGGAACGTGAAGTCTGTCACTACTTCCACAGCTTCCCCTTCTATTTGCCAAGGAGTGATGGGGCCGGATGCCATGATCTTAGTTTTTTTGATGTTGAGCTTCAAGCCCACTTTTGCGCTCTCCTCTTTTACCCTGAGCAAGAGGCTCTTTAGGTCCTCTTCACTTTCTGCCATTAGAGTGGTATCGTCTGCATATCTGAGGTTGTTGATCTTTTCCCCAGCAATCTCAATTCTGGCTTGTGATTCATCCAGGCCAGCATTTCGCATGATGTACTCTGCATATATATTAAATAAGCAAGGTGACAGTATACATCCTTGTCGTACTCCTTTTCCTATGCTGAACCAATCAGTTGTTCCATATCCGGTTCTGACTGTTGCTTCTTGGCCCTTATACAGGTTTCTCAAGAGACATGTGAGGTGGTGTGGTACTCCCATCTCTTTAAGGACCTGCCATAGTTTGTTGTGATCCACACAGTCAAAGGCTTTAGCATAGTCAATGAAGCAGAAGTAGATGTTTTTCTGGTACTCTCTTGCTCTTATCTTACCTCACTAACCTGTTAGTGTTCTTTGAGGGGGTGAACAAACATGTGGACAAAGGGGACCCCAATAGATGTTGTTTACCTTGATTTCCAGAAAGCTTTTGATAAATTTCCTCATCAAAGTCCTCTTGTGAATCAAAAAATTGGCTAATTAATAGGAAACAGAGAGTATAAATGGGCAATTTTCACAGTGGAGTACCACAGGGGGGTACCACAGGGCTCAGTACTGGGTCCAATGGTTTTTAACATGTTCATTAATGATTTTGAGTTGGGAGTAAGCAGTAAATTGGCTAAATTTGCAGATGACACGAAATTGTTCAAGGTGGTGAGAACCAGGGAGGATTGTGAGGCATTCCAAAGGGATCTCTCGAGGATGAGCGAGTGGGCATCAACATGGGGTTCAATATGGCCAAGTGCAAAGTGATGCACATTGGGGCCAAAAATCCTAACTACACATTGATGGGATCCAAACTGGTGGAGACTGACCAAGACAGAGATCTTGGAGTCATAGTAGATAACTCACTGAAAACGTCGAGACAGTGTGATAATGCAATAAAAAAGGCAAACGCTATGCTGGGGATTATTAGGAAGGGAATCAGCCAGTATCATAATGCCCCTGTATAAATCGATGGTGTGACCTCATTTGGAATACTGTGTACAATTCTGGTCACCACACCTCAGAAAGGTTGGAACACTTTCCCTATGAAGAAAGGTTAAAGCGCTTGGGGCTCTTTAACTTGGAGAAACAACGACTGAGGGGTGACATGATCGAGGTTTACAGGATTATGCATAGGATAGAGCAGGTAGAGAAAGAAGTACTTTGCTCCCTTTTTCACAATACAAGAACTCGTGGGCACTTAATGAAATTGCTGAGCAGTCGGGTTAGAATAGATAAAAGGAAGTTCTTCTTCATCCAAAGAGGTGGTGGCGGCTACAAGCATGGACGGCTTCAAGAGGGAATTGGATAAACATATGGAGCAGAGGTCCATCAGTGGCTATTAGCCACAAGGTGTAGATAGGTGCTCTTGGTCTGGGGCAAGTGATGCTTTGTATTCTTGGTGTTTGGGGGGGGGGGAGCAACAGTGGGAGGGCTTCTAGTGTTCTAGCCCCACTGCTGGACCTCCTGATGGCACCTGGTATTTTTGGCTACTGTGTGACAGAGTGTTAGACTGGATGGGCCTTTGGCCTGATCCAGCATTGGCTTCTCTTATGTTCTTATGTTCTTATATGACCTCTGTTTCCCCTTGTTTAGGTTCTAGGTGACCATATTGCATACAGATATGAAATACTGGCAGTCATTGGTAAAGGATCATTTGGGCATGTCGTGAAGTGTTTGGATCACAAGACAGGTGAAAAAGTGGCAGTGAAAATAATAAGGAACAAAAAGAGGTATGCCACGGCCACCTTTTTTAATAAGTCAAAATGTTGGAGGATAGTTGAAAGGACCAGTGAGGCCTCTATGATGTTTGTCAATCTGTTGGAAGTATTTGACTATTTTAACAGTGGGTTTCTAAAGCAAATATCAATACCATATATTGTATAACCCTGACGGTAGTGGGGTGGGGGTGGGGAATCTAAGTGTGGTAAAAAAGATAGACTTCTAGCTGAACAAATAAACAGAATAATTCACACTGAAAACCCCCCAACCAACCTGTAAGTAGGGTTGCCAAGTCGCGGCGGGGGATTGTAAGTCTTCGTAGAATCCGTGCCGCTCTGGCAACGGGGCTCCAAACAGCCCCATTGCCAGAGCGACGCGTAGCGTCATGTCCTGGTGACGATGGTGCAACGCGTCTCGCCATCCCCGCGGCACAGATTCTGTGAAGACATGCAGATCCCCCGCCGCAATTTGGCGAGATTTGGGAGCCCTACCTGTAAGCTCTAATTTGGGGCTTATTGAGCCTCAACAAATCTTATCCTAAAAGCTCTAAATTTGTTCTACTGCTTCAGACCAACATGGCTGACCACCTGGGCCTAAAAGCAAAGACCAGGTTACGAACACACAATGCAAAGAAGGCCTAAATGAGCGATGTGGCCACCTGTTGTAATGAGGACTGTCAATTCTGCTGCGTATACACTGGGTTGGATTTGGATGCAGCCTAATTTTCTATTAGCAGCATGCAACTCCCCCCACCCACCGCCAATTGGAGCCCACCAATTTCTACAAAATGCTGCTTCTGCAGGATAGGAGACCTTGAGGACTGGTAGCAAGAAGGGGGAATTGGTGGAAACTGCCAGTTTCGGTTTGGTTCCAAGCCATTCATAGATTGTTAATACTTTATATTGTGTTTTGTGCTCCTGTGCTAAAAGGGTTGGCTTTGTTCTGCTAGCAGAGATGCTTTCCTCGGGCAGAAGGAGCCTTCCATTGACGCAAGGCTCTTGCCTCAGTAATAGCATCTTCTGCCGGTGGGAAATGCCTCTGCTAGTGGAACAGATTCACAGGATCCGACCCAGTGGCGTTAGTGTTTTCAGCAGCTGTAACATGCATAGGAAGAATCTGGCTTCTTGCATCAGCTTATGTAATTTTGCCTCCTGACCTTGGATTTAGATTTCATAACCAAGCCTTGGTGGAGGTCAGCATTCTCGATACCCTTCGCCAGAAGGATGAGGACAATACGCACAATGTAGTCCACATGAAAGACTATTTTTACTTCCGTAATCACTTCTGCATTTCCTTTGAATTGTTAGGGTAAGACGTGGGTTTTTTTTTTCTTATCTGTATAGCAATGTTGAATGTGTTTTTTGGGGGAGTGTTCTTTGCACTTTGTCAGATTCTTGCTGCTTCCCTGTAAGGTAGGGCAGCGGCGGCATCCTCCTGTTGGAGGGGGACAGAGTGGAAGGGTCTCAGTGGGAAGAACTTGTGTTCCCCATACAAAAGCTAGGACATCTCTCTTAGCATTGGAATGCAGATCTGCTTGACCATCGGATCGTGCGTCTCTGATCACTGACAGCAGATGGAGGACGGGCAATCCTCACCCAGTTGCTCTTCTCCTCAGACTGTATAGAGGCTCCGTGTGGGTCACTTTTCCCACCAAGACCTTGGGGGGGGGGGGAGTCATACAAGGCAGCTGAGGGAAGAAGGCAAGTAAAGACCTATTCCCCAAAGCAGAAGTCCCTAGAGGTACAACACAGTGTGTTTGCCCCTCCCCCCCCAATCTTCTATTTGAACCAGGGCTTTTTTCCTGGGGGAATACACCGAAACAGAGTTCTGGAACCTCTTCGACAAATTCTTTTAAAAATGTTTAAAAGTTCATGAGCTTTCAGTATAAAGACTGAAAACTTCATTTCCCTCTTGAGAGTTCCGGCACCTCTTTTTTGTCAGGGATGCTCTAGGCTGATCCTGCACTGAGCAGGGGGTTGGACTAGATGGCCTCTATGGCCCCTTCCAACTCTGTGGATTCTATGAGTCAGGCACTGGACCATCTTTCCTAGTATTGTCTGCTTGACTAGTACTGTCTACTCTAGGACCCCGAGCGGATCCTCCTTCCTAGTTCTGTACCTTGCATGTCTTTTTTTTAAATGAAAGGTGCCAGGGATTGATTTAGGGTTTTCTGTGTATAAAGCATGAGTCTGACCAATGGGCTATGGACCTGCCCCTATCAAGCCTGTCACCTGTTTAGGCCCCTTTATCGGCAGTGCTGAATAAGTGTTTTTAAAGATGGGAACAGAAAAGTGTTGGTGTAGTGGTTAAGTGCGTGAACTCTAATCTGGGAGAACTGGGTTTGATTCCCCACTTCTCCACTTGCACCTGCAGGACTTGAGCAAGCCCTACTCCTTCTCCTTCTCCTTCTCCTTCTCCTTCTCCTTCTCCTTCTCCTTCTCCTTCTCCTTCTCCTTCTCCTTCTCCTTCTCCTTCTCCTTCTCCTTCTCCTTCTCCTTCTCCTTCTCCTTCTCCTTCTCCTTCTCCTTCTCCTTCTCCTTCTCCTTCTCCTTCTCCTTCTCCTTCTCCTTCTCCTTCTCCTTCTCCTTCTCCTTCTCCTTCTCCTTCTCCTTCTCCTTCTCCTTCTCCTTCTCCTTCTCCTTCTCCTTCTCCTTCTTCTTCTTCTTCTTCTTCTTCTTCTTCTTCTTGCTGTCTATTCCCAGTGTGCTCCAGGGCAGTGGCAGGAATGAAAAGAAGCCACTGAATTTTCTTCCCTGTAAAAGCTGTTCCCTCCTCCCTTTGCTTTACTCAGCACTGTTCTAGCAACTGCCTAATGACAAACTGTATAATGGTTATTTTTTTTTAATTGCATCAGATTTTATGAGCATCACATTGTGTCTCTTCCGGGCACAATCAGAAGAGAACATGTTGAGCCAAAGGATTCTCTTCTGTTCTTTTCATCTGGCTCTTCTGTGTTTTGGCCTTAGCACTGTTTGCAGTTTCTAATGAAGGAAAACAAGCCGCAAGCATCTCCCGCAGGGTGTTGATCTGAAATGATTCTACGGTCCTACGATTTCCCCTGGTAGCTAGTGGCTTCTGAGGATAGAACAGGAGGAAACTCTGAAATTAATCTTATTCATTTCATTCTGAAATTGTGGCTTGAACATGTCCCTGGCCTCTGATAAGGAAGTCTAGGACAATTCCTTCAAAGATGATCTTGCAGGAGCTCATTTATTTTCCCCCCATTAAAGGTAGTGACTTTGAACACAGCACTGCTCCCATGGGAAAGTTTTCACACTGGGCTTGCAGCTTGTATACACAAGAGGATGATGGGTCCCCTAGCTTGATGCTCTGAGCACTACCCCACCTCTGTTGCGAAAATTTCAATTCGCTGCAGATGTAAGATGATTTTTGAAGGATTATTGGGTTAGCAGAGTGCTCAAGGCATATAACTTAGCTGAGTCTGTCTGGTTTGTGTGTGCTGACAAGAAACAGGGTTACATACAGAGTCCTTTATTGTAAGGAACTCCATTCTAGACAGGATAGAGTAGAGATAGGACTGTAATCCAGTCTAACTAGCTAGGATGGATAGAGATGCAGGAAGCATGCCTTGCCCTCATGTTGCCAAGACAGAGAAGACTAGCACAGTGTGGATAGAAGGTATCAAGCTAGAAGGGAAGAAGATTCCCTGATAAAAGCAATCTGCACATCAGAGGGATAGTAGCGGAGCAGTAGAAGGAATGGATGATCAGGGTCCTGGCCTCTCTATCTCTGACTCTCTTATAGACCCCCCTCTGAAGTCTGAGGCTAAGAGACAGTGCAAAGTCCTTCACTTCCAACAATTTTCACAGTGGAACCAATAGCAACTTCAGAAGGATGGGGGTGTGAAAATGGAAGAGGGAGGCAGACTGAAGCTGCTTCTCCTTGCATGGTGTGGTCAAGACAGAAAAGGACTGGTGTGTGTTTGGGAAGCTCAAAACTTCTTTCTCAGGTCTGATCCAAAGTCCTTGTATTTTCCCCCAACAAATACGAGGACTTTGTAAAGTTCAGACTTGCCCTAAAAAGCAACAAATAGGTCAAGGTGATCTGCAGTGAACATGCATGAAGCTGCCTTGTAGTGAATCAGACCACTGTTACACCAAGGTCAATATTGTCTGCTCAGGCTGGCAGGAGCTCTCCAGGGCTTCAGGTAGAGACTTGATTGCTTTAACTGGAGATGCCGGGGATTGAACCTGGGGCCTTCTGCATGCAAGGCAGATGCTGTACCGCTGAGCCACAGCCCCTCCCCGGTCCATTTAGGGCATTCATCTCTGCCAAGCCTGACTCGTAACAGGCTTGGCAGAGTTAACTGCATTCCAACAGGATTTCCAACAGGATTTTTCATTTACTTGGTGTCATGGCTCTCTTTTTAAGATTAAAAGAAAAAGTTATTGAATAACCGAAGTGTCTCAGAGCAGGTATAATCAGGTTAAATCTTTTCAGTTCTAATAAATGGTTGGCCTTAGTGTAGATCGTGCACAATATAAAATGTAAATGTTCTTGTTCTCATCCCACAGTATAAATTTGTATGAATTAATCAAGAAAAATAGTTTCCAAGGTTTCACCTTGAGTCTGATTCGTCGGTTCACTCAGTGTATATTAAGATGTTTACAATTGTTGTATATGGAGAAAATTATCCATTGTGACCTAAAGCCTGTAAGTACAGCCTTTTCTATACTAGTGAAATTTCAAGTGTTTACTCTGTGCTTGGGTGGTTAAAATCTTGGTTATGAACAAAGAACCTTTTCAGACCTCCTGTCCTGGTTATGTCCCTCAATTGCACCTTGTTTATTTCCCCTCAGAAAATGACCAGTTAGTTTTACAACCTAGATCAGCCTTCTCATTGCAGAGCTTTTACATTAGCACAATTAAATATTTTCGCGTCAAAAATATTAACTGGTCGGTATAACAAAGTCCCTTCCCATGAAAGGAAATGTATCTGTCCTTTAAAATCGATATTCAATCCATCATATCATCTTGGACTGCCAATTGCACACAGGTCCACGTAAGAAACTCCTTTCCTCTCCACTATACCCCAAACATTGTATTAACAGCGACAGAATAACACAACATTTATTAAATGACACAAACCTGGACATCACAGCTCTGCTTGCTAAATTCTTGGCTGAAGCAGTCAAAAATAGACACAAGCTCTCTGTATGAGTAACCTTATTTTGTTGTCTCTGTAATACCTTCTTGCTCATATTTTATCACACTTATTATGCCATTAATGATATTTTGATTCGATTTGATTTGGTATTTCCCCTCATTTGCTTGCTAACCTGCTAATCTCTTTTCCCCTTTCCCCTTTTAGGAGAATATACTTATAAATCAACCACAATCAGGGCAAATTTCGTTTAAAGTTATCGACTTTGGCTCAAGCTGCTACGAGCACCAAAGAGGTTTGCAGAAAAGTCAAGTAGATGTAATTTCCTTTATTAGATTTCTTAACTTTTCAGTTGTTTTAGTACATATGTAAATGCACATGCACAGACATGATAACCACATGCCATAAGAACATAACAGGAGCACTGCTGGATCAGTCCAAAGATCTGTCTAGTATTCTCTTTCCAAGAAAAGCCAGCCAGGTGCCTCCAAACCGGGCTGTGAAGTTGATGGCCGTCCCCCACTGTATGCCTTTAGCTGTTCGTGGTTCATAGGTATACTGCCTCTGAACATGGAGGTTCTATTCAGTTGCCATGGGTAATACCACTTGAAGAACCTATCCTCCCAATAATTTTTTAAGCTTCTCTCAAAGCAGCAGTTCTCTTAACTTTTTAAAGACAAACCAACTTTTAAGTTTACTGTATGTTTTTGGCACCCACGTGCCAAAGTAACTCATGCTACTTTCCCCCTCCCCATGACAATAAGCAAGAAATTCATATTAATACCAAACAAGTTCATATTTAATTTTCTTCATGTTTCATATTCATAAATATATCATGCTATTGAAAAACGAGCTGTGTTTCATGCAGAGGCGAACTCAGATTTTTTCACTGAGTCTCCCACAGCTTCATCTTGCAGATCACCTTGTTCTTCCTTCCCTTCTGGCCTCAAGAAACAGCTGCCCAGAGAATTCGGACCCACTTTTGGGTCTTCTCAACCCACAGCTCACAAACGACTGTTTTTAAAGCCATTTAAGCTGATGTTGGCTTTTGTTATGTACGTCCCATGTTAAGTCTTCCCTCTAGAAGGCTCCTGCTCTAGAAGGTGGTTGTTTTGTGTGCGTTACCTTAGAACAAAGCAAAGAACACATTTGCCCAGTAAAGGAGACATCGCCTCCTGGCTGAGTCTGCTTCGGAACTTGCTAGGAGGACCTGCTGGACGGAGCACTGGTGATGAAGCACAGGCAAACACTGCTCGGAAAGGGCCTGCTGGAAGTGCCCCCCCCCCACAGTAGGTGGAAGCAGCTTGCAGACAAGTGCCCAGTGCAAGAAGAGATCAGCCACAGGACCTCTTTCTCTTTGAAGATATAAAATGGCCCTGCCCTGGATAGCCCAGGTAAGCCCGATCTCGTCAGATCTCGGAAGCGAAGGAGGGCCGACCCTGGCAAGTACTTGGATGGGAGACCTCCAGAGAATACCAGGGTTGGGAGGCCGAGGCTGGCCATCAAGCCACTTCTCTGAATATCCTCCATGCCCCAGTGGGAGTCGCCAGAGGTCGCCTTGACTTCCAGGCACAGGCACACGCACACACACATGCACACAGACACACACACACAATGCAAAAAGAAAAAAAGAAAATATAAAATGGTGGCAATTATGTTACCTTTGTCTTCTGAATTACTTAGAACACACAGCTGACTTGTAAGAGGAAGTGGGAAAAAATATGAGGGTTCTGCTATTCGCAAAGATTAACTTTTGATGCACCAGACTAAGTAATGTGAATTGCATTTCTCTTGCACTGTGCCATTCTGTCAATCACCGCATCTTAGTTACTCTTGTCCCATTGGGGTTTCCCCCCTTCCTTTCTTTTTCTTCTAGTGTACACGTACGTCCAGAGTCGGTTTTATCGCTCTCCAGAAGTGATTCTTGGTCACCCCTACGCGGCTGCCATTGACATGTGGAGCTTGGGCTGCATCATGGCTGAGCTCTATACGGGGTACCCACTTTTTCCTGGAGAGAATGAAGTGGAGCAGCTCGCCTGCATCATGGAGGTAGCTTTGGCTCTTAAATCGGGCAGGGGTACTAATAACAGGAAATTTATTTTATTTTATTTGCCCAAATTTATATCCCATCTTTCTGCCCTCATCAGGGCCACTGAGGTGGCTCACAAATTAAAAACACACATAATAAAAACACGTCATAAAAATTATTAGAACCAAACAAAAACACATCATTAAAATAATTTAAACTAAAGCTAACACACATATACAAAACCATAAAAAACCAACAGTTAAGATTAGGGATGGGCACGAACCGCATTTTTGCAGTTTGGTTCAGTTTCTCATTTGTGAGCCATTTAATGTTTAAACCCCTGCTTTCTGCTCTCTGCGAAAAGCGGTGGGGAGCAGAAGGCAGGGGTGTAAATGGCTCTGAACCACCATGAACGGCATCAAAATTTGTAGAAGTTCGTGCTGGCTCTTCAGTTCACTAACATCACTTCGCGAACTGGCTAAAATTTGTGGAAAACTTTAGTTCATGAGCTGGTTCATGCCCATCCCTAGTTAAGATATAGGGCAGGAAGAAGGTATTGCTGACAGAATACTAGAGAAAACAAACCTGCTGGTAGAAGGCGGCAACACAACACAAGGAGACAAACGAATCTCCCTGGGGAGAGAGTTTCAGAGTTTTGGTACCACAACCAAGAAGTCTCTCCCAGCACCTAATCTCAGAAGGCACCTGAAAATTCTTCAGAAGATTACCTTAGTGGTCAGGTAGTTTCATATAGGAGTAGGTAGTCCTTCTAGTATTCTAGTGCCAAGCCATATAGGGCTTTAAAAGTCAATACCAACGCCTTGAATTGTCTCTGGAAACAACAAGCCAAGACTGGAGTGATATGGTCCTTATGAAATCCTGTCCTCCCCGCAGAGGGGAGGCTGATTATAAGCCTTGTAAAGGAGAAAAGGCTTAACAATAGGTTGGTGCTCATCTATCTTTTTCTCTTCCCATGGGCTGCTTGGGGAATGCACCACAGGGGGGCTGCTAGCTCCCAACCGTCAGAAGCATGGGGAGGTTACTGGCTTCTCCTCCTGAACCCACACTGCCATCAGCAATGCCACAGAGGCTTGGGTTGCACCAGACTGGTGGCAACAGGGACCCTGGAGGTGGTGGGATGTACCTTGCTTGGGGTAATGCTCCCTCTAAGCTGCCATGCGCCAGCTGCAGGGAACCCCACGAGTGGAGGTCCTGCCGGTTCCGGGGTGCCACATGCAGGAACTGCGGGAAGGTCAGCCACCTCACCCGAGCCTGCCATGCCAAGGGGGAACCGGAGGCGACCAACAGCAAACCTGGCATCCATGCACAATGTGGAATTACATATCACCTCCGTCCAGCAGCAGGAGGTATTGAACATGCCCCTGGACACCCCTGACAAAATTACAGTGACTGTCCTTATCGAGGGCAACCCCTGTAAGATGGAGCTCGACACCAGGTCCTCCATCTCCATAATTTTGGAGGACACCTTTAAGAGACTCTGTCCAAAGGATGGCCCTCACCTTAAGCCTGTTGGTTTCACCTTGCGGGACTTCCAACAGAACAAAGTGGCCGTGAAGGGGGTGGGCAAGTCCCAAGTCCAGTACCAGAATTTTGATGGCTTTTTGGCCTTGCTGTTGGTGGTGGGCAGTCACACGAGTCTCCTGGTTCGCGCCCTTGGGGTTCCGAGTGACTGGTGTGCATCACTTGGCCACGAAAGACTTTCAGTAGGCATGTGACGGGGTCCCGGCCGTCTTTGATGGGATGCTCAGTCGCTACACCAGACCCCCCATCTCACTCCAGCTGAACCCAGCCTTGAGGAAGTCGACAGATTGCTCCTAACTGTACGCCCTACCACGTGCTCCTTTGATCCGTGCCCTTTGTGACTAATTAAAGCTGGTCACGAGGGGTTTCGAGGTGCACTGTGGGAGATAATCAACACGTCCCTCGCTCAGGGGCTGTCCCCGGAGGCACTTAAGGAAGCAGTGGTACGCCCCCTCTTGAAAAAGCCATCACTGGACCCGGCTGAATTGGCCAACTATCAGCCGGTTTCCAACTTGCCCCATCTGGGCAAGATAATAGATGGCAATTCAGTTACAAGGCTTCCTGGATGACGCTACCTTATTAGACCCCTTCCAGTCCAGTTTCCGCCTGGGTCACGGGACAGAGACAGCACTGGTCACCCTCACGGATGACCTCTGGAGGCACCTGGATCGAAGCGGATCAGCAGTGTTGCTGTTGTTAGACCTGTTGGCTGCGTTCGACATGGTCGACCATCAGCTACTGATCCGCCACCTCGCCGACATCGGAATACAGGGACTGGCCTTGCAGTGGCTTGTTTCCTTTCTCCAAGGTCGGGGACAAAGAGTGGCGCTGGGGGATCAACTGTCCCGAAGGCACCCACTTGAATGTGGTGTGCCCAAAGGAGCAGTGTTGTCCCCAATGCTCTTTAACATCTATATGCGCGCTCTTGCCCAGATGGCCTGGAGGTATAGCCTGGGTTGTCACTAGTATGCAGATGACACCCAGCTCTATCTGTTGTTGGGTGGCCAGTCCGACTCCAAACCGGTAGATCTAGATCTGGCATTGCAAGTTGTGGTTGGTTGGCTTAGGCTGAGCCGGCTGAAATTGAATCCGATGAATTATTTAAATGTTTTTAAATGTTTTAATAGTGTTTTAAGTTTAAATGTGTTATATGTGAATCTGGCATTGGGCCAGGCAGTGTGAGCCACCCTGAGCCCGCTTGTGGGGAGGGCGGATTATAAATATAAGAAATAAATAAATATAAGAAATAAAGACGGAGGTCCTGTGCCTGAGTCGGGGCGGTCCAAGGGTAGGGATCCCACTCCCAGCCTTTGACGGGGCACTGTTGGTGCCAGTGCCGGAGGTCATGAGCCTGGGAGTGCTCCTAGATGCCTCCTTAACAATGGAGGCCCAGGTAGCAGCCACTGCCAGGTCGGCCTTTTACGATCTTAGGCTGATTAGGCAGCAGGTTCCCTTCCTCGAATGCAACGACTTGGCAACAGTGATCCACACAATGGGCACCTCAAGATTGGATTACTGTAATGCCCTCTACATGGGGCTGCCCTTGGCCCAAATCCGGAAGCTGCAGCTAGTGCAGAACGTAGCGGCGAGGCTGTTGTTGTGTCATCCTGTGTGGGAACACATCCAGCCTGCCCTAAAAGAACTGCACTGGCTGCCTATAGCATACCGGATTCAGTTCAAGGTGCTAGTTATTACCTTTTATGGCCAGGGACCTGCATACCTGAGGAATCGCCTTACCCCATATGTTCCCCAGAGAGCACTGTGATCGGGGACCCAGAACCGGCTGGTCCTCCCGACCATCAAGGAGGCCAGGCTTGCGTCAACGAGGGCTAGGGCTTTCTTGGTGGTGGCTTCATTCTGGTGGAATGAGCTCCCAGAGGAGATCAGGGCCCTGCGGGACCTGTTACAGCTCCGCAGGGTCTGTAAAACGGAGCTTTTCCGTCAGGCCTTTGGAACTGCCACCACCAACATCTGACAGTTTTGGGGGAGCGAGCTTGACCCCCTGGGTCCCCCCAAATATAGCTCAACCCAAATATAGCCTGGCCTGAGTGCCTGGGACATCTGTAGTAAATTATGATGCTGACTGTGCCTGAGGAATTAATGCTAGCACTTTATTAAGTAGTATAATTACGGTTTTAAATTTGTGTTTGTCTGGTTTTATTATTTATTGTACTGTTTTATATTGTTGTAAGCTGCCCTGAGCCAGCCTTGCCGAGAGGGTGGGGTAAAAATCGAATAAATAAATAATAAATAAACCCAGAGGTGTGGCCCATACGGCTGAAGGCTAGGTGTGTCTCGTTCGCATTGAAGCCAAAAATAGATGAGGAGCTGGATCAGTTAGTGGGCCAAGGGGTTTTGGAGCCAGTTCCGCATGCCCTCTGGGAAATCCCGATTGTTACACCCATTAAGCCCAATGGAGACGTCTGCATCTGCATGGACTACAAATGCACAATAAACATGGCGCTGCAGGACCACTCCTACCCGGTGCCGGTAGTCAGCCATGTCTTGGCCTCTCTAGTGGGCACCAAGGTCTTTGGAAACTTGGACCTAGCTCAGGCCTACCAGCAGCTACAAGTGGATGATGCGACCACGGGGGCCAAGACTTTAGTGACGCACAGGGGCATGTTCCGGGTACGGCGACTGCGGTTTGGGGTCAGCGTAGCCCCAGGAATTTTCCAGAACCTAATGGACTCTCTCCTTAAAGGAATTCCAAGGGTCCAACCCTTCTTTGACAACATTTTGATTGCCGCCCCCACAGACAAGTACTTTGCCAAGAGACAGCGCACCATCCTGCAGCGTTTCCAGTCAGCCGGCCTCAAGGTGAAGTGGGAAAAGTGCCTCCTGGGGGTTCCGTGGGTCGAGTTCCTGGGGTTCTCTGTCAACGCGGAGGGTATCCATCTGGCCCCAGACAAGGTGTGCACCATCATTGACGCTCCCGCACCAACCTCGAAGCCGAACTCCAGGCCTTCTTGGGGGCTCCTGAACTTTTATCCCTCTTTCCTGCCCCACAGAGCTGCTCTCGCAGAACCGCTCCACCACCTCCTCCGGGCCGTCAAGGAGCTGCTCACCTCCAATGCTGTCCTGGCCCACTTTGACGAGACGCTGCCTGTCGTCCTCACATGCAATGCTTCCCTGTACGGCATCGGAGCTGTCCTAGGATACCAGTTGCTGGCGGGCTGGGAGGTCCCCGTGGCTTACTACCCCCGCACCCTGTCTTCAGCCGAGCGCAACTATGCTCAAATCAACGAGGCACTGGCTATTGTCGCAGGGGTGAAGAAGTTCCATGACTACCTCTATGGACGCCCATTCACCATTGTTACAGACCACAAGCCCCTGCTGGGTCTGGATCGCCGGACCCCCCAGATGCTCTTGCCGCACATGCTGTGTTGGTCCATCTTCCTGGTGGGATACCACTACTCCCTCCTCCACTGCTCAGGGAAGGCTATGGGACATGCCGACACCCTCAGTCGCCTGCCGCTTTGCTCCTATGATCCTGACCCTGCTCCCACGCACCAGATCCTGCTCATGGAGGAGCTTCCTGACTGCCCTCTGCAAGTAAAAGACGTGTCCCACCACACCGCGAAGGACAGCCTTCACCTCAAGGGAATTCCAAGAATTAATGGGCTGCTACCTCATCCGACACATCCGCTCCGCTCCCTTCCACCCGGCCACCAACAGACAAGCGGAGAGGATAGGGCAGACCACAAAGGAGTCATCCACAGAGACTAGGACCATAGACTCGCAGCCTTCCTTTTTGGACATCGAGTGACCCTGAGCGCTGCCACTGGTCACAGCTCAGTGGAACTCTTCACAGGCAGGCATGTAACCACCTGACTGGACAGACTACACCCAGATCAAGCCCCTGAGCATCGCCAGGCAACAGAGAACCAGGAAGCGCCCAGAAGATTTTTCCCTGGTGACTCCGTCTATGCGAGGAACTGTTCCAGTGGTCCTGCCTGGGTTCCTGCCAAAGTCATCTGGGTTACTGGACCTTTGTCATACGAGGTATCGACCGACGATGGTCAGGTCCTTCGTAGGCACATAGACGAGCTCCACCACCACCCATTTCCAGATGATCCGCAGTCACCATCAGCAGTGGCGGAAGACTACGATGAGGGACTGCTATGACCTCAGGAGTCACAGACTGTGAGTTTCAGCCCGACAATGCACAGTCTGACCGCCAGGGGGGGTGAAACACCAGACCAAGCGGCCATGGACTCTCCAGAGGTAACGCCAGCCCCACAACCTTCCACCAGCATTGCACCTGCAACATTGAGCCAAGATCTCGTAACCGCAACCCCTCAGCCTGAGCCGCGGCGTTCAAACGGAGAACGATGCCGACAAGCATACCTAAGAGACTATGGCTGTTAAGGTGTTTTGGAACTTAGGGGTGAGGGGTGTTATATATTGAGCCTGAGCCAGCCCTGAAGGTGAACCTTGAACTGGGTGAGCTTGCTCCCCAAGAACAATAGCTGACTAGGATCCTGGAACTGATCTAAAGATAAATAGTGTAATGTAAATAGCCTATCCGTGAGACAGTGTGTGTGGGGGTGGTGGGGGGTGGGTGGGGGTGTTTGCATGCTTTATAAGCAAGGCTCAAACCCTGCTGGGTGTCCTTGGAGTGTGCTGAAATCACTAAATAAACTACAGCTGATCACTTCAATGTGTCCAGAACCCCGTATTTAACAGACATGCCTCTGGCTAATGTGAATGCCCTTCTTGAGTTACTGGATTCAAGAAAATGTCAATAGGCTGCAGGAGCGATTATATATCTGGTATTTGCTGGAGAGAAATAGCCAGGAGAACTGAGAATATCCAATTGTCTTTCAGTGTCAGTCACTCTCTGCTTAATGAGTGATTTTGCCTGGTCTATACCAAGATCCAGAAGGGCTTGGGGAGAGAAGCCTAATTTCTGGATGGAATTCAAGACTGCTCTATGCCTATTGGACTGAAATTGGTCCTGATGGAGTAAAGGGAACAGACCCCTGGGGTTTACATTTCCTGTTACCCATTTATAAATTGAGAGGATACGAATTCTAGCCTCTACCCGAAGCATTCCTGTTTCCAATCTGACCCGAGTGTTTGACACACACGTAGGTACTTGTAATAATACTCTAAGGAATTTAGACTGGACTCTCTCTAGTGGGGTAAAGGGGGAAGATGGTGGCCCCGTGAGCTGGGCCAGCGACTTAGCTTTAAACAATCAAAGAGCGACTGGAACATCGTGCCCCCCATGAGACCGATGAAATTTCAAAATACTATTTGCTGTTTTCTCTCCTGCATCAGCTGCACAACTACAATGAATTGCATTGGTGCCGGAAGCTTGCAATAATATAATTTTATCCCATCCTTCCAAAGAGCTTTTCTCCCTTCCTCTATTTTATTCTCACAATCCTGTGAAGTACCTTAGCTTTTAATGATCATTGGCGTTCCTTCTTATTTTGGAAATCTGAACTGATGCTGCACCAAACCAAAGTGAGTTCAGCAATAATACCAAAACAGTTAATTTGTTACATATTTGATTTACCAAGAGACTCTTATGGCTGATTTTTTTTGGTGTGTTTTAAAGGTACTGGGCCTTCCTCCGACAGAATTCATTCAGACAGCATCAAGAAGGCGAACATTCTTTGGTAAGCACCAATAATCAACTAACAGACAAAACGGCCATCCTAAAGTACATCCTGTTGTGCAGGGGTGGGTGGGCGGGCTATAAATCAAATGAATAAATAAATGAAAATAAATAATGGTGGGCAGGCTCCTGTGCTTTCAAGGACCCCTGGTGGCAATGGTAGCACAATGCATACCCGTGTGGTCTGTGTGCAATGCAGTTTGTGCAGGGGTGGGGCTTCTGTAGCCACCCTGCATCTAAAGATGGGCAAGTTGCCCCGAGCGTTCTGATTCAGGTGAGTGGTGAAAATAATTCTTGGGTTCATGAACAATGTCTGTGTTATTTTCCCTCCCCGCAAAAAATAAGTTGTGGTAGCCTTGGCGGAGAAGGATTGGATTAAATTGATGTTATTAGATTGACTTGTTTGAGATATTTCCCTTCCCACAAAGAACAAGTTGTGATGGCCATGGGAGAGATGGAAACCTTGTTATACTAAGTATGTGGCATTTCCTTTATGTGCTGTGTTTGTATACTTAGATTTGGGTGTCTTCATTTAGTCTCTCAAATCTAAGTATACAAACTCAAAAATGACAGAATGATTTCGGTCCGATTCCAAGGCAAACCATTCAACATCACAGTAATCCAAGTCTCTGCCCCAACCACTGATGCAGAAGAGGCTGAAGTGGACTGGTTCTATGAAGACCTACAACACCTCATAGAACTAACACAAAAAAATGATGTCCTCATCATCATAGGGGACTGGAATGCTAAAGTAGGAAGTCAAAAGGTAACTGGAATAACAGACAAGTTTGGCCTTGGAAAGCAAAATGAAGCAGGACAAAGGTTAACAAAGTTTTGTCAAGAGAACACACTGGTCATAGCGAACACCCTTTTCCAACAACCTAAGAGGCGACTCTACACATGGACATCACCAGATGGGCAACACCGAAATCAGATTGACTATATAATTTGCAGTCAAAGATGGAGAAGCTATATCCAGTCAGTAAAAACAAGACCTGGAGCTGACTGTGGTTCAGATCATGATCTACTCATTGCAAAATTCAGACTTAAACTGAAGAAAATTGGGAAAACCACGAGGCCATTCAGGTTTGACCTAGATCGCATCCCTGATGAATATACAGTAGAGGTGAAGAATAGATTCAATGGTCTGGATTTGATAGAGTGCCTGAAGAACTGTGGACGGAGGTTCGTGACATTGTACAGGAGGCAGCAATCACCACCATCCCAAAGAAAAAGAAATGCAAGAAAGCAAAATGGCTTTCTGATGAGGCTTTACAAATAGCAGAGGAAAGAAGGAAAGCGAAAGGCAAAGGCGAAAAGGAAAGATTTACCCAACTGAACGCAGATTTCCAGAGAACAGCAAGGAGAGATAAGGAGGCCTTCCTGAATGAACAGTGCAAAGTAATAGAAGAAAACAATAGAATGGGAAGGACTAGAGATCTCTTCAAGAAAGTTGGAGAAATCAAGGGAGCGTTCCATGCAAAGCTGGCCATGATAAAGGACAAAAACGGTAGGGACCTAACAGAAGCAGAAGAGATTAGGAAAAGATGGCAAGAATACACAGAAGAACTATACAAGAAAGACCTCGATGTCCTTGACAACCACGACGGTATAATCACTGACCTCGAGCCAGACATCCTGGAATGTGAAGTTAAATGGGCCTTAGAAAGCATTGCTAACAACAAAGCTAGTGGAGGTGATGGTATTCCAGCTGAGCTATTCAAAGTCTTAGAAGATGATGCTGTTAAAGTGCTGCACTCAATTTGTCAGCAAATTTGGAAAACGCAACAGTGGCCACAGGATTGGAAAAGGTCAGTATACATTCCAATCCCAAAGAAGGGCAATGCCGAGGAATGTTGAAACTATCACACAATTGCACTCATATCACACGCTAGCAAGGTCATGCTCAAGATCCTACAAGCTAGGCTTCAACAGTACGTGGATAGAGAACTACCAGAAGTACAAGCTGGGTTTCGAAGAGGTAGAGGAACTAGAGATCAAATTGCCAACATTCGCTGGATTATGGAGAAAGCAAGAGAGTACCAGAAAAATATCTACTTCTGCTTCATTGACTATATAGGGCTTTTGACTGTGTGGATCACAACAAACTATGGCAGGTCCTTAAAGAGATGGGAGTACCAGACCACCTCACATGTCTCTTGAGAAACCTGTATAAGGGCCAAGAAGCGACAGTTAGAACCGGATATGGAACAACTGATTGGTTCAGCATATTTATTTATTTATTATTAAAATTTGTACCCCGCACTCCCCCGTAGGGCTCAGGGTGGCTTACAGGGCAAGATATAAACAACAATACAAAAATAACAGTATATCTGCATTATAAAAACATTATATACAATTTAAAACCCATCCTATATCACATAAAGTGCTCGGTGAAAACTAACTTCAAAACCCAAGATGGCGAGACAGTTCCGAACAGTTCCTAGGAGACAGTCTATAGTGTCATGATGTTCCAGATCTTCTCAGGGCCTTTCTCTGGGCCTCTTCCAATCCCCCCCAAGATGGTAACACAATGGGGGGGCAGCGGCCCCTACTCGAAAGCCTGGTGGAAGAGTTCTGTCTTACAGGCCCTGCAGAACTGCATCAAATCCTGCAGGGCCCAGATCTCCCCTGGGAGCTCATTCCACCAGGTAGGGGCCGCTACTGAAAAAGCCCTGGCCCTTGTGGCGGCCAATTTTGCATCCCTGGGGCCCGGAATAGTTAGCAGGTTTTGGGCCCCAGACCGTAGTGCTCTTGGGGGAACATACGGGGGGAGGCAGTCCCTCAGGTAGGTTGGACCCAGACCATATAGGGCTTTATAGGTCATAACCAGCACTTTGAAGCGAATCCGGTACGCTATTGGCAACCAGTGCAGCGCTTTCAGCACAGGCTGTATATGGTCCCTTCTAGAGATACCCATTAACAGCCTGGCTGCAGCATTCTGCACCAGTTGCAGCCTCTGGATTTGCGACAAAGGCAGCCCCATGTAGAGAGCGTTGCAGTGGTCTAGTCTCGAGGTGACCGTCGCATGGATCACTGTGGCCAGGTCATCCCGGTCCAGGTAGGGGGACAACTGCCGAGCCCGCCGCAGATGGAAAAAGGCGGACTTGACAGTGGCTGCCACCTGGGCCTCCATTGTTAAAGCAGAGTCCAGGTGCACTCCCAAACTCCGAACCCCAGACGCTGGCACCAAAGGTACCCCATTGAAGGTCGGGAGAGGGAGCCCCAATCCTGTCCCGGCCCGACCAAGGCCCAGGACCTCCGTCTTCAGAGGAAAAGGAGTACGACAAGGAAAAGCATAGGAAAAGGAGTACGACAAGGATGTATATTGTCACCTTGCTTATTTAATATATATGCAGAGTACATCATGCGAAATGCTGGCCTGGATGAATCACAAGCGGGAATTAAGATTGCTGGGGAAAAGATCAACAACCTCAGATATGCAGATGATACCACTCTAATGGCTGAAAGTGAAAAGGATCTAAAGAGCCTCTTGCTCAGAGTAAAAGAGGAAAGCGCAAAAGTGGGCTTGAAGCTCAACATCAAAAAAACTAAGATCATGGCATCCGGCCCCATCACTCCTTGGCAAATAGAAGGGGAAGTCGTGGAAGTAGTGACAGACTTCACGTTCCTGGGATCCCAGATCACCACAGACTGTGACTGCAGCCATGAAATTAAAAGACGCCTGCTCCTTGGGAGGAAAGCGATGGCGAACCTAAACAGCATGATAAAAAGTAGAGACATCACCCTGCCAACAAAAGTCCGCATGGTCAAAGCAATGGTATTCCCAGTAGTCATGTATGGCTGCGAGAGTTGGACTATAAGGAAGGCCGAGCACCGAAGAATATATTCTTTTGAACTATGGTGCTGGAGAAGACTCTTGAGAGTCCCTTGGACTGCAAGAAGATCAAATCAGTCAATCCTAAAAGAAATCAACCCTGACTGTTCCCTGGAAGGCCAGATAATGAAACTGAAGCTCAAATACTTTGGCCACCAAATGAGAAGGGAGCACTCACTGGAGAAGACCCTGATGCTGGGAAAGATTGAAGGTCAAAGAAGACGGGGACGGCAAAGGATGAGATGGTTAGACAGTGTCATCGATGCAACGAACATGAAATTGAGCCAACTTCAGAGGACGGCGGAAGACAGGAGGGCCTGGCGGGATCTGGTCCATGGGGTCGCGAAGAGTCGGACTCGACTGTGCGACTGAACAACAACAACAAAAATTTAGTCTCTACAACCTAGGGCTGCCTTAAACCATCTCGACACCTCTGAGAAAGGAATAGTTTAAAAGTTCAAATAAGGGCTTCCATACTCTAATGTTGCATATTGATATTTATTTACTTGATTTATACCCCACTTTTCTGCCAATGGGGACCGAAAGCGACTCACAACATTCCCCTTTTCCCCCATTTGATCTTTACAACAGCCTTCCCAGATCCTAGTGTGCCATATATATATGTGCATATTTTTATGCAATGCTGTGCTTGAGTGCCAGTTGTAATACTGTGCTCCATAACTGGAGTCGCTCAACTGATAAATCGCACCAACTGGCCTTACCATACAAACAAGGGGGTTGGGTTTCTGGACATGTCTGGCTCTAGGACCATTCTCTGGGAGTACATCCTGAAAATGTTCATTTTTAACTTTCTAGACCCAAATCTTGTGAATTTGTCCAGCAAGTTCCTCATCTATGGATAACATACATGTATGTTTACCATTTTTAACATTTTGCTTTTCTGTCTTGAAGATTCTAATGGTAACCCAAAGAGTGTAACCAATAGCAGGGGGAAGGTACGAAACCCGAATTCGAAGGATCTGAGTGCTGTATTGAAAACCTACGATGCTTCTTTTTTGGACTTTCTGAAAAAATGTCTGGTGTAAGGTGGCTTTTACTAATTTTCCTAAGCATACATCCTGGGTTTTTAAATCCTCAATATTTTTGTCCCGATGTATCTGTCAATGTGTAAATTAACAGTTACTGTAAAAAAAGGTAAAGGTTCCCTTGCTCGAAAGCCAGTTGAATCCGACTCTAGGGTTGTGGTGCTCATCTCCGTTTCAAAGCCGAAGAGCCAGCGCTGTCCAAAGATGTTTCCGTGGTCATGTGGCTGGCATGACTAAACACCAAAGCACAATACATATTTTATAGATTAATCCCCTGTAACAGGTGAACTGTTACACTCCTGTAAGGGAAGCATTCCTTTTAAAAGAGACACATGGAAGCAAAAGGCCTCATTTCCTGTTCCAAAACAATGCAGGGCTATATTGAGATGGCTGCTCTCTTCGATACCCAGTCTCTGTAAGTTACAGCCCCCTGACTGAAGAGAAGCCAGAACTTTGTTTATTTGCAGGTAGCAAGTGAAAACCTTGTATCCCAGCCAAAGATCACTCATTTGTCTTCTCAGATTTTTATTTAAAATCAATTTAATCATTCTTGAAATAAGTGAATATGAAAGAATCACCGTGATACAAAATATATCACATACGTAAATGAAATCAGAAATGAAATCAGAAAAAGACATACATATCATTACTTATCCCTTCCCCGATCTAAAGATTAAAAGATAAAATACAACTTCTGAGAGTCTCATCAAAGCACTTTCATAAACATTAGACCAGGGGTGGCCAAACTTGCTCAACATAAGAGCCACATAGAATAAACATCAGGTGTTCGAGAGCCGCAAGACATGAAGAAATATTACACACGTTTTAATTGAAAAATATGCAGATTTGTTTTTGATTAACATTAAATGATACTGCTAAAAATAAAACCAAAAAAGGATAAAAAAAGATATTGATGATATTTATTTGTCCAATGATATTTGTAGGCTTGATGGGGGGGTGCTTTGAGAATGCATTTAAAGTTGCTTTCTTTCTCTGCTCCCCCCTCGCCTCAAGCCTACCCAGGGAAGGGGAACACTGGCTGGGGAAGGGAACGCTTCCCCAGCTACCCTGCCAGGAGCCACACAAGAGGTGTGAAAGAGCCGCATGTGGCTCCCGAGCCACAATTTGGCCACCCCTGGATTAGATAGTCTCATGCAACCCACATATGAGAGATTCATGGGTGTTTTGGGCATGGCTATCTTATGGACCCAATTACATGAAATACACATGGCCATATCAAAACCTTCCAATTCATCACTTCTGATGGTCTGAGGAGAACGCTTCTCTGAGTTTAGAAGAAAGTTCCAATAGAGATATGTGTCAAAACTGTGAACTATTAGATTAACTTGTTCAGAGATCCTAGTCTGATATTTTAACCTCTGTACCACACTGACTGCAGGGTGCTTCCCAGCACTGGGCATCAAATCAGGTTCCTTTAACTACCTCTCTAAAATCCACCTCTGACATTCTGAAGCTGATCTGACTTCTCTACCATGGCCTCTGGCCCTCCAGCTCCACTCTGCCTTCCTTGTGTACCTAGTTCGTCATCTTGAGGACAGACCTGATACCTCTTTATTTAACTCATGTCAAGTACCCAGCTATTTGAGGTGTTCCAAAATAAACACAGAATAAAAAGATGAATTAGACCCAGAGAGATTTCTAAAGGCGAGCTATGAAATGAACAGCTATGAAAATCCTGTAAACGTACAAATGACTTATAGTGATTCCTCCTCCCACCTCACCCAGTGTCTGGGTTTCCACACTTCACCCATCATTCAAAGGAAGTGATGTATGATCAACCACACAATATACCTGTGTGCATGCTGTCTCTTTTCGTATATGCATGCAAATGAATCACTTGTATGGTGATTACATATGGTGGTTTATATGGGGGGGGGGACAGGAACTCAAGAAATCCCTCCCATGATTAATGATGGAGACTGTGCAGATTAGCCCTTAGTTCTCCCCCCCCAAAATCTGTCACAGTCAAGAATTTCATCATAATGTCCTTTATGTTTTATGTGCAGATGGAAGCCTGCCTTGCGTATGACTCCGGAAGAAGCCATGCACCATGCCTGGATGCAGGACCCATGGTTACATAAACCAAAACAAAAGCCCAAGATGGCTCCAAAGTCCAGTGAGGGATCCTTCATCACCTCTGAGAAGAAAAAGGAGAGCTTTCATAAAAACCCACAGCCAGAAAGAGGAGGTATGATGGTTGCCGTTCTTTGATTATTTTTTTAAAGAATGTATTTGTCTTACATGCTTGTTTTCACAGAGCTTTCTTTAAATAAGCCTGTTTGCAAGGTGCATAAACCACAAAAGCCATGGAATGTGCTACTGGCAGCATACTGAATCAGTTTCCCTTTCTTAAAGGCAGGAAGTCTCCAGTCCTGATGACTTGCTGGATAGGACTGTTATGAAGATAGATCCAGGTGGTCAGACATGTTAGTCTGAAGGAGTAAAACAAATTTAGGTCAAATTTGCATTTGCATTTTTAAATTAGTTTTGTGCTTCTGTGACCCCGTCTTTCTCTATGCTTGTTTGAAAGTTGTTTGGAGAAGATTCGTTTAAAGCAGTGCAGAGGTGCAATTAAAATGGAACCGCCACAAGAGGGCGATAAACATAAGCAGACAGGTAAAAATATACTCGCACAGTTGAAGTGAGAAAATGAAAGCAAATGTAGACATTTTTTTGAAGACGGAATCAGAAGGCTGGGACACAGGTGGGAAAGACAAATGCAGATTCGACCTTAGAGTCTAGTGGCACCTTACGACCAACAAAATTTTATTTAAGGTATGAGCTTTCATGTGCATGCACACGAGAGCTCATACTTTGAATAAAACTTTGTTGGTCTTAAAGGTGCCACTGGATTCTAGGATTAGCTATGGTGAGAGAAAACGGGTGGGTGGGTTCATCAGTAAGCATATTTCTTACTCCTCTCCTTGGACACTGCTCTGGGAAGCACCCAGCCTGCATGCTTCTCACGCCCAAACTAGGCACACGTGCAGTCACTGTGGCACAGTGTGCCCTAAGGGGAGAAAATGCATCTGACTTTTTGAATCTGGAATCTTAGACGGGAATCTGTTCCTCTATTGGAGAGAGCCTAGAGCGATTCGGGAGGGCCCTTCTAACTTTAACTTTTTGTCTTCCTTCCTGCAGATGAAATCTGGCATCACCCCCTTGGAGAAGTCAAGTGTGAACCCCCTGAAAAGTTGCCGGTTGCCAACCAAAAACCGCCTACCATCATTTCATCCCAAGAAACAAACAGAGAGGAAAGCCAGGATGCAAACCAGCAGGCCACTCCCAATAAAGAGCAAGAAACACCCCTGGATAAAGCTGTAAAAAGAGACCACAGGACAGAGAAGGTCATGCACAAAAACACAAGCATCTTACCGCCCATTTGGTACAAGCAGTGACTTGGCCCCTCTTTCCATACCTTTGTGGTATGTTTTGTTTTTAGATAACTATTTTGCTGTTCTGTGTTCAAGAACAGGAATTGAATGTATAACGCTCTACATATATGGTCTATGCGCACTTCTTGCCATTGTAACAAGGTTGTGGAATAAGACTGAGTGGAATGGAAATGGGTATTTCATACTGTTTGGATGGGACAGCCTGTCGCTACGCGAACTTGCAGAAAGGTTTGGCTGGAACAAGGGAAAAGAGAACTTCTTCGTGTACACTGCAAAACAATGATTGGCAAAAATGAGACTGGTGCCTGGCCTCCAAAACATTTATTGTAGCTTCTGGGCTGTTTCAATCAATTTAATTTCTGCTTAAAATCTGGCACTCATGGTTTCAGGACCCCTAAAATCTCACAAATATTAAAAGCAAATTATAAGAAACCCACATGCATTATGTCTTCCAAATCTCATTTCTTAAATATTCACACATGTGCCTTAAAGTTGCTTGTGTTTCAATTGAGGTTATAAAACAAGCATAAAAGTTACATGCCTCTACTGCACTGCATTACCAATAATCACACTTTCATATAAATAGAGAGAGCCAATACCCACGCCTCACACATGAAACTACACCAACTGTTTTTTCCAAGAATTTCCAAAATATTCTCACTACATCGCCAAGATGTCCCTATTAATGCTTCATTTTGCAGAGGAATTTTAGACACATGGACTCTTCTACACCAGTTTGGTGTAGTGGTTAAGTGCGCGGACTCTAATCTGGGAGAACCGGGTTTGATTCCCCACTCCTCCACTCACAGCTGCTGGATGACCTTGGGCAAGCCATAGTTCTGGCACAGCTGTTCTTGAAAAAGAGCAGTTTCTGTCAGAGCTCTTTCAGCCCCACCTACCTCACAGGGTGTCTGTTGTGGGGAGGGGGAAAGGCGTTTGCAAGCGGCTCTGAGACTCCTTTGGGTAGTGAAAATGCTCCCTCTAAGCTGTGGAGTCTTGTCAGCAAAAATTCTTCTTTGTGAGCTACTGGCAATAAAGTTGTGAGCAAGTGATTTGACTCCTGCATAAATTAGTTTGCTCTGGAGCCATCCTTCCTAAACTAAGACAAAAAATGTGTGAGCTGGAAGCTAAAAACCTGTGAGCTAGCTCACACTAACTCAGCTTAGAGGGAACACTGGTATAAATCCAATCTCCTCCTCCTCCTCCTCCTCCTCCTCTTCTTCTTCTTGAAAAATAATTTGATTATGTATGTAGTCTGAGTGCTTTTAATTATCAAAATGATGTATGTAGTCCTAGTCCTTTTAGTTATCAAAATGCTGATTCAAGTCCTCTGCTCCCAAAGACTTTCCATCAGACTGTGTTGAAAGTTTATGGCTGGAAACTCAGTTCCTAGGGGCATGGAGGACTAATTGCATGAGGGTTGTATAGCATGTGATAAGAGGTGCTTCAACGCCCCCCCCCCATTTTTTCCAACCTGAAAGGGCCTTGGGGATGCTACTTATCCATTTGGGGGCTCCACAGGCATTGATGGAACAAACAGTGCCCACTGTGGGCATTTCAAGTTGGGAAAATCAGTCAGGAAGTCAGTCAATGGCTTTCCAAGCTCACCTCAGCTACCTCTTTAAGAAATGCTAATAAGTCTGGCTAGAGACAACAAGAGAGTCCAGTCCCCTCCCTTCAAGCAGGGAACAGAGCCTTGGAGGTGTAAAATACTAGAGAGACTTCAGGTAGGAATCCCTGAAGAATCTCCAGGAAAAGTTTCTCTGACCCAGCCAGACTTGGTCAGTGGGTGGGGAAAAGAGAGGTGATAAAACTCAGACCATTTCCACAGTAGTGAAATTCCCTGCATTGACTTTTTAAAACTGCATTATGTGAAATTTTCCACTGTAGATTTTTTCTCACCAGGCCAAAACTGGGGATTCCAAAAATGCAGGGCAAGAAGGAGAAAACTTTGGGTTTGTGCCTGGTGAGGAAAAATCTACTGCGGAAAATGTCACATAATGGACAGTTTTTAAAATGTCAATGCGGGGAATTTCACTACTGTGGAAATGGTCTCAGGGAAGCAAGGAGGAAGGTCTTCTTTGGGTGCTGAGTCCATCAGTGGCGACAGAACTCTTAACTGAGGAATGGAGGAGGCAGCCATTAACCATGTGCTGGCCTGAAGAGCTGGAGGAAGCTGCAAGGCAACGGCAACTCTGTAGAGATCTAGAACATCCTAAGCTAAGGAGCCTGTCCTATATTTTAACATCTGATAGGGCATGTATAGAGAGAGGGACAGAGGAATTGCATTTTACCCATTTCTTTTGAATCCCTTAGTCTGGTGCTGTGCTAAAAGTATGCTCATGAACATTTTCTTTTTAATAAATTCTTTATAACTTTTGATCCTGGTAGTGGTTTTCTGTACCACATAGACCTCCATCATCTTGGACACACTATTTTAAAAGGAGCACCAGGAAGAAGGCAGGCAGTTGGCAAGTGGCTATTCCTCCAGGGGCGCACAAGGCAGTAAATGGTCCCCATGGTGACAAGGTGCTGGGCAGCAGAAGACACAGTGGCAAGGCCTCAGAACTTGGAAAGGAAGCTGGGAGTTGTGACCCTCCCAGTGGACAATTCTTTACAAAGGTCAGGTGGTGGCAGTGGTTACCCGAGAGAGAAAGAAAAGTATTTCTAGGTGTTGTGAAAACCTTGGAGGGCAAGGGGGGAACAGGGTCTGCAGGCCAGAGCGGGCCCGTTCCACCACAGCGGGCAGCATCAGGAGAAAGACTTTGTGCCCAGTTCATTGACCCTTCAGGCATCTGGTTGGCCACTTTGTGAAATGCTGGTTTAGATGGACCACTGAGCTGATACAGCAGGGGTCTTCTTAGGTTCGTTCTAAATAAAGTTCTCCCCAAGACAATCTTCTGGTCCCTGCCATATATTTGTTCTCTGTGGCTTCAGTGATGAACAAGGTGTCCCAAACAATTCTTACTTATAGCCCCGCAGCTGAAGTTTGATAAATGAACCTATGCACATCAAAGTACTATGCACATTAAAGCTGAGAAATCTCAAATTATTGGTAATGTTTTTTTTCTGCATGGAGTCATCTGTGAGATACTCCATGCATGAAAACTATAGCCAGCAAGGGGACCTGGTGCGCTACACCATGAAGACAGTATCACCTGCAGGAATATCCATCATCTCAATGCAATTCTCAGGCAGTGTGGACTTGGATTTATGTTTGCAATGGCAAACATAAATGTCTCCTAAATGGTCACATCGGGCCCATTGACCTGGTGTGAAAGGCCATCAGTGACATCTGGTCAGTCATTTTTGGCAGTACAAGGATTAAGACAGATGTAAACATTTCAGCAGCAGCGCTTTGAAGTCACCCCTCTGCATTCAGTTCAAATGTTAACTTTTTACACTGTTACCAAGCACTGTCAATCAAGTTTTCCAAGGTTTTATTAGGCTGAAACTGGCACTGGAGAAAAGATATGAAGTGTACCTAGTGATCAATGCCAGTGACGTCACTGTCTCCAGAACCATTCTGAAATCATTAAAATGTTAGCGAATCTCATTTTCATAAGTAAAGGATTTATATATTTGTATGTGTGTGTGCGTGCATATATAGTTTAAAAATATTTTAGCTAAGGCTCTCTGAAAGTTAAAGCTTTGAACTTTCACTGCTGCTCCCTAAGAGGCAGGAATAGAACTGAAGGGCTGGGCTATTCCCAAGGCGCCAACAGGAAGGGGAAAAAAGTGTTTCCTGCCTCCCTATAGGAATGATGGGAATAACCCATGGAGATGTCCTCCGTCTCAGAGGGAGAACAGGGTCTGCAGGCCAGAGCGGGCCCGTTCCACCACAGCGGGCAGCATCAGGAGAAAGACTTTGTGCCCAGTTCATTGACCCTTCAGGCATCTGGTTGGCCACTTTGTGAAATGCTGGTTTAGATGGACCACTGAGCTGATACAGCAGGGGTCTTCTTAGGTTCGTTCTAAATAAAGTTCTCCCCAAGACAATCTTCTGGTCCCTGCCATATATTTGTTCTCTGTGGCTTCAGTGATGAACAAGGTGTCCCAAACAATTCTTACTTATAGCCCCGCAGCTGAAGTTTGATAAATGAACCTATGCACATCAAAGTACTATGCACATTAAAGCTGAGAAATCTCAAATTATTGGTAATGTTTTTTTTCTGCATGGAGTCATCTGTGAGATACTCCATGCATGAAAACTATAGCCAGCAAGGGGACCTGGTGCGCTACACCATGAAGACAGTATCACCTGCAGGAATATCCATCATCTCAATGCAATTCTCAGGCAGTGTGGACTTGGATTTATGTTTGCAATGGCAAACATAAATGTCTCCTAAATGGTCACATCGGGCCCATTGACCTGGTGTGAAAGGCCATCAGTGACATCTGGTCAGTCATTTTTGGCAGTACAAGGATTAAGACAGATGTAAACATTTCAGCAGCAGCGCTTTGAAGTCACCCCTCTGCATTCAGTTCAAATGTTAACTTTTTACACTGTTACCAAGCACTGTCAATCAAGTTTTCCAAGGTTTTATTAGGCTGAAACTGGCACTGGAGAAAAGATATGAAGTGTACCTAGTGATCAATGCCAGTGACGTCACTGTCTCCAGAACCATTCTGAAATCATTAAAATGTTAGCGAATCTCATTTTCATAAGTAAAGGATTTATATATTTGTATGTGTGTGTGCGTGCATATATAGTTTAAAAATATTTGGGGAGGGGAGTCACAATGTCATGCTAACACCTAATTTAAACAGATTTGTGTTTTAGCATAATAAACTAAGTAGTGGGAATTTAGTAGCTTAATCTGTTTTTAGCTAGATATTAAAGATACTGTACTGATTTTATTGATCTGTTTTTAAATATATTTTTGCTATCTATCTAGTAGTGTAGTGTCATATTAAAATGAGAAGAAAAAGGGTGCGTCCCTTTGATGAGGATTTACCCCCTTCTAAGCAGAGCAAGATGGAGAATTTTCTTGTCACAAAAA